TAATCATAATAGCTGAGTAAATACATTATTTTTAGAGAAATTTTAAATATTAGAAAAATAAATGAGTGGCTTTGTTTAAAAATTTGTGAAGTTGTAGAGGGTCTCTGTAGGGGTGGGTGTGAACATTCTGGAAAAGGCTCTCTTCGATGCCCTACAGGCAGTCACTTCTCTCTCCTGCCCGCTCTCATGACACGAGGAGCACAGCCCAGGAACGGGCCATTTGGGTGGCTCATTTTCTCTCTGTAGATCTGCTTGTATCTTTTCATTATTCTTAATGATTCTGCAATCTTGGGATTATGAGTGCTAGCCTCATTTTTTCATAAATCTCATTGCTGTGTCTTTTAAATGCTTAGTAAACAGAAAAGCAGTCCTCTCAAGAAATCCTGGAGGAGCTCTAAAAATCTCCCTATTTTGAAGGCAAAGACTAATTTCCCTTAAGTTGTCATAAACTTAGTGATTTTATTCCTTCTTGATAAAACGGCTTTTTTCCAAGTTTAAAATGAATTTATACCCATTGTGAAAGATTGGAGAAAAAAAATTTAACCAATGTCCCGCTACCCAGAAATAATAATTATTTATACATATGCACACATAGCCTTTCCAATTACAAATACAGTGAGGCCTCTGTTTTTTGGTATGTTTTCCTAAATAAGATCATAATATACATGTTTTTGGTAACTTGTTCTGTTGTTTTGTTCTTTTCATTTAATCTCATAGACATCTTTTCTCTGTTGTGTTTCTCTCTTCAAGATGAAATTTCCTATCTCCAGTGGTTTGTTTCCCACTAACACAATCAGCAACTATTGTAGGACCATCAGGAGCAGCATACCTGGGTCCTACTTTTGAGGGAATTCAGCTAGAACAAGGAGGTCTTGCAGCTTCTGGAATAGGTGTGAGCTCATGGGGGTAGAAATCAATACTGCACCAGAATTTAGACAATTTAGCAAAGATATGAGACAGTACTTTGTGTAAAGAATGACTAGCAGCATGGTTAACCCATTGATTGTCTGAAATATAGGTTATCATATTTTCTCCAAAGTTTCAAGTAGAATCTAACCTGTTTTGTAGCATTAGGAAAATCCTGGTAGTAG